TATATTACTTCTACATTTTCTTTCATCAAATACTATAAAAGTTTGTTTGTATTAATAATATTTTTTTAATAAATTGTATTAATAATATTTAGATAACTGCCGAATTTGAATTGGATCAACTATACACACAGGAAATATTTTTTATTTTATTTTTCTTGAGAAGCTATTCTTCTACAATTGTAGTTTTCAATATAATATTGTAACATTTTAAGTTATTTAATTTTAAATTAGACAATAAGAAAAAAAATTAACTGTAACTTGTATTATGAGAATATTTGAAAAATAATTTAAAATATAATCATAATTGATTAAACTATAAAAATAGAAATAAACAATGTGATAAATTTTTTTGGTCGACGAAAATATTTAGCATTTTTCATAATTTAGAAATGAACCCTAATTGCGTTGTGCTAAAACCAAGGCAAGACAAAAAAAAAATGGAAAGGAATGGGAAAAAAAACGTTATCTTGCCAAGAAAGCATAACCTAGGAGAAAAAGTGAAAGCGAGATGCTAATGAATAATGATTGCTTACTAGTTAATAGGATTAATTCCTTAAGAAGCGTGTTTAAAACTAACGCCAAGTCAGGCGTTGGTGTTAGGACAAAGAGCACTTCATTAAAAAAATAAATTAAGTGGCCATCCCCATATGGATAACGTGATTTTAAATTTGTATTATTATGTTAAATGTAATAAGATATTTTTTATGCTTACTTTACTTTTTTTTTTTTTTTAACTGTTAGATACCTCATCATTTTGTTCTTGGATCTTGAGATTATGATGTTACAGAGAAGAGAGAAAGAATGAAGGTATCTAATAATATTAAAGAAAAATAAATAAATTAAATAGTCATGAAAAAAGATAAGTATAATGGAAATGGATCAATTCATATTAAAAATTCACATGATATGATGTGAAATTTTTGTAACTATACCTCTTTTTACTTGTATTAAATAAGTGAGATCCAATTATTATTAATAAAAAAAGAGATATGTTAGAGATATATAAAAATAATTAATATAACTTCATCTAACAATTTAAACTTTTGAGTTAAATTTGTTCTTTAGATGATTGCAGAGCTTCAGTGATCACGAGGTCACAAGTTCGATCTCGCTGTTCTTCATTTTCTTTGTGAAATTTCGTAACACAGTTAGACTAAATCTAATGCACCATCCACTTTTCAAGTCCAATAAACTTTCTAGTGAGAAGGTGTATTAAAAATATATAAAAATCATTATTATAACCTTATCTAACAACTTAAATTTTTTAGTTAAATTAATTACAAAATAGATACAAAAATTTCAAATGATTATTATGTGAAATCTTAGATATAATATAATATCTCTTATACTATAAAGTAAGTAAAAGTTCACAAATTACCATTTACAACACCTTAACCGTTGCAACTAAAGCAGTAAAGCTATCGCAATCGAATTCAAGTCTAGAAAATTAAAAAATATATAAGAAGAGTCTCAACCAATATAAATCCGAAAATACTAGAATCAGAATAAATTAAAAAAAATCATCCAACTCGCACCTCTTGAGAATCTAACAAAAACAACGTTAGTCAGATTCAAAGAAGGACAAGAAGGTATATCAAATATCAAAATTAAAACAATTCTTGTCTCGCAGCATTTTAAATTGCCTCCTCAGAAAAAAAAATAAAAAAATTCAGTGATCCAATACCACGAAAAATGAGTGGTTCCCCCTTTAAAAAATATGGGATATAAATAAAAATATAAATGAAAGAAATAAGCAAAGTAAAAATATGTTTTCGACATTTCCAAAGAAGGAACACCAAATTTTCCTCCCCACAAATAGCATAATGCGACAGAGTTCCTCCAACCCCTACATCAAATCACATTAGTTAGTTATGTTGAAGGTGGGACAACTACCTTAGAGATATAGCGTATTAAACAAGAGTTATTTTTATCTCATTTTACATAGGATAAATAACTTTTCTACACACAAAAAAGAATTGAGTTCCATCACTCTTTTTTTCTCTCTCTTCTTTATAATTTTATTTCTATAACATGAAGTTACACCATAAGAAAAGTATTTCACGTTAAACAAAAGACATGCCTATTAAATCCATTGATGTTCCATAATGAAACGTCACGGCAGACACATTTGCATCAAAATCTTATAGCAGTTGTACACATTTGCGTCTGTGATGGTGTGGTGTTTGCGTGAAGAGGCAGCTTTACTTTGTTGGTAGTGCGGCTAAAGAGATAAAATTAGGGTTTGAGATTATGTTGCTTAGCGGGTCAATCCATGGGGTAAATTCACGGGTTACAGGTCGGGCTTGGTAAATGTAGGCTGAATCAATTTTTTGGGCTTCAACATTTGTTCCTGTTTGAATACTATTTTTAAAAATAATTTTTTGGTTTTAAAATAAATAAAACTCGTTTGATAAGGTTTATTTTGTAAAAAAAAAAAATTAAAATTAAAATTGTAATTATTATTTTTATATTTAGAATCAAATTTAAAAAACATGAATGAATTATTTTTGTTGTGTTTCGACTTTTAATGTGTCTATTTGACTGTATTCTGAACCTTTTTTTTTCATAAAACTGTTTATTAGAATAGTTATGAAAATATGTGTTTATGTTTTTTTTTTTTGAAATTTAAAAATCAAAACACAAAACAAAAACAACTCATACATCTCTTTTTAAATTTGATTCTAAAAACAAAAAAATAGTTATAATTTTTTAAAAAAATTTGAGAAAATACATTTTGGGTCCTCAACAAAATTCACGGGGCTCATTTTAATCCCTTTGAAAAAGTCGACTTAGGGTTTCTCTGAAATTCAAAATAGACCCAGTTAGTCGAAATTGCGATCTCTCTGAATTTCAGAGGTACCATTAGTTGATTTAATCTTTTTTAAGAGATTAAATTGGTCCGGTAATATTTGTTGAGAATCCAAAAATTACTTTACTCAAACTATTTTTACAAAACAGACATAATTAAAAGATTATTTTTTTATTCTGAAAATTAAAACTGGTTTTTAAAAACAGTATTGAAATAGTGAGTACCTTTCTCTTCTTTTTTTATTAAAAAGAAAAATAATATTTTTTTTTTAAAATAAGGTGTTCATAGGCCCAACACACCCTTGTGTTGTGTGTATCTAAGCTAGGAATAAATTTTTAGTGTATCAAATGTATTGAATTTGATGCATCTGTCCATTTATTTTGTGACATGTGGACACAAAATCTCACATCATTTTAAAATAGTAGATGATGTGATATTTTTATCCACATGTCACAAAATGAATAGGTAAATGCACTGAATATTCGGTGCATCTGAAGCATTAAAGATTTATTCGATAGATAAATTTTTTAACACTACGGATGTATCAAACTCGGTACATCTGTTTATTAAAATGAATAAAAAAAAATTATTTTAACCCTTACTTTTCTTTTTACATTCCAAAAACTTTCCTCATTTATTCAGGACGTACCGAAAGTTTACTCCTCCTTTGATAGATCCTTCTTCCCAAGTCCCAACACATAACAGCAAGTAATAAAAAAATAGTATATAAACAAATATTTCTTGAAGCATTTCTTTTATAAAATTGAAACTTAATTTCTATTGTCAACAAATTTTCCTTTTTATGCTATTTATAAATACTACTGATTGAGAGGCACATGTGTATTTTATTTTATTTTATTTTGGAGCCTGTTATATTCCCTGTCACTCTAATCTTTCTATCCTTATTATTATCTTTAACCGTTAGATTAGATTTGAATATACAGTTCTAAACAATACAAAATTAAACCAAAACAAACTCCCACGTCCCCATCTTTGTTAGTTCATCCACATCACTTATCTTCTTCTCTCTCTTCTAAACACAATAAAAAAAAAAAAAAAAACTATTACAGTTACATTATCTCTCTTCTCGTTCTTTCTCTTTCTTTCCCCCCTTCCTTCTCTCTTTTGAACTACCTAAGCTAGGTTAATTCGTCCTATAAAAAAAGACTACATGTATTGAAAAGAAAACAGTGACCAAATATAACCAATGAAAATGATTAATCAACGCTATTTAGTGGTATGGATTTAAGTAAGTTCATGATGTGTTAATATTATGATATGATATTTCCCATTCATTAAACTTGTCTATTCAACAAAACATTTTATATAAACCTTCATGATACATATAGCGATTTAGTTTTCAAAATAAAAAGGATCCAAAGAAAATGAAATGAATGTCACGCCTATTTATTTATTCAAGTAGATATATAAAGGTTGTCTTGTGAGTTGTGACATATATATTTGGAAATAATTACAGATGTAAATTGATCATAGTCCAGTCTCAAGGAGATAAACTCTTACAAAAAAGTTTGTTAATTCTTGCCTTTCTTGGTTTTCCCCAACAGTGATGCTTACAGAATATAACATTAGTATTTTTATTTTTATTTTTCTTCTGCAGAGAACTCCTTCACTCACTGTAAGCATTCTCATATTATAATGTCCACTTTTCTGGCTTCTACCTAAGTTGTATATCCCTCAAAGTTTAACATAACTGACAAATCGGCATATGGTTCGACAAAATAAATTGTTCCTATTCATGATTGATTAGATTTACAAATTATGACTAAGCATTTTTATTGTGATTTTGTCTGTACTCTATTAATTTTATAATCATCATTTCGAATTTCAAAAAATAAGGGGAAAAAAAAGAAGCAAAGTACATTGTCTAATCCATTGAATGCTTTTTGCAGTAAAGTCTCGATGTCTTCCTGCCATAAATTTTTACACTTGGGACAAACCGGTTTTGAAAGACATTGCAACAAATATTTCCAAAAAAAAAAATATTGCATAAAAAAACTCTATAATTTTAGACTTAAGACCATATGATGGATGTCATGTCACATAAGCTATTAACTCATTGGTAGCAAAATCTATTTTTTTGTTGTTAGAACTTGTTTACAACGTAAGCTAAAAGCAAGAATTTAAACTAAAACTAGTTGAATTACCTTGGTGTTAACAATAATTACCATAAATATGCCCTTTACAGAAACAAATCTGTCAAGAACAAACACTTTACATGCAAGGCTAAACAAGCACGATTTTGTAAAACAGTATTTCTGCAGCACAATGTTAACGTAGATGAGAGATAATGACAAGTATAATATACAGATGCTCCTAATCTGATGCGTATGCTATAAAAAGCATAAGGTATTCTTTTCTTTGATAAAATGAAATCCAATAACTATAAATCACAATAACAATCTCATGGAACCGAAACTAATTTCACACACGCTCTATAAATATCACAGGAGGGCATCCAGGTGGTGGTTGTGTTGCTGAAACGCCTGAGTATATTTATCAACTAGTATACAGCCTGTGCAGCAAAACAGATATACGGAGCAGCTTTTTCTCTTATTGATATATCCATTGAGTTCCAATATTTGAGGCTGGTTTTTATGACAACTGTGGTCTGCTCTGTTGATCTAAAATGTATCCAGCATCCACAACATAAAAAGGGTCTTAGAAGCACCAGAAGAGTCAAGCATTTATTTCTGAATTGCATTGGTTCTCCCTGCTGCAACTTCTTCTACCCCAAAACATGCTTGAGCAGGTTGTTTTATCTAGTCTTGGCCCTTCAACTTTATCGTGATCCATTGTTGATGCCTGTGAGTGATGAGGTGATTCATCTTGTCTTTCTACTTCTCGGGGTTCAAATGAAGGACATGGACCATCATTGCAGGTACATAGAGGAATTGCCATAGAAGGAAATGGACTACAAGTGACAGGGCAGAGCATCTCTGAAGGAACAGAAGCTACATGGTTTCTTCGAATCTCTGGTGTATGAGAAAGAGATGACTGATCTAGCTCACGTGGATGTAGCATGCATGGAGTACACAGGCCAAGAGACACGTGTAATTTATTTTCTTTTGCTTGGTAACCTGGTAACTTAACAAAAGAGACAATTCCGTGTCTACAAAGGGGGCAAGGGATAGAACCAGGAGGGCCAATCATTTCAGAAGAAACGTTGTTTGTTGAGCAAAGATAGAGTGCACATCTAACACAAAGCTCATGCCCACATCCTGCATGTAAAAATCTATTGATATCACTAATATTGTTATGCAAAGCTCAATAAGTTTTCCAAATTCTAATATCAGAATCTTGAAAATTTGTTACGGAAAAATGGTAGTACGTGTGGAAGTGGATAAGAACACCCAACCCACAGCCACACAAAAGAAAAGGGATGATAGCTTATTTAACTCTTACAGAATGATATTTCTGACTCCACATTTTGGGTTCTGGAAAGTAGTCCTAACATAATCACTACTTTAGGATATGGGACCCTATTTTTAATTGCTGCAGATCATTAAATATTCACATGCAGAAGGCAGGCAAACAAACAGATATTCAGAAGATAAAGAATCCACTACCTTCTGCAGCCACTGAACATGGCCTCTCCAGGCATACAGCACAAAAGTCAATCTCGTCAGAGGAGGTTGTAGATGATTGCAATCCATACTCTCTGCAATTATTTTAAATCAATCTTAGTCTCATTTTAAACATATGAATGTGTTCTTCCCCTTTTCTCAACATTTGGCTTCAAAATATTTTTATAAATAGAAGGGAGAGAACGTTCATATTTCAACTGAATCAACTAGCTTATTTGACTCAATCTTTATCATTTACTATAAAATCCCTCAAAAATTCTTTTTTCCAAATACTTCCATCAACTCTTAAATTTCAGTTTCCTCAGAATTCCCTTCTGATAGCTACAGATAAAATTCAACGAGTTTTTTGTCATACAATTTATAAAATCTAAATCCTTTCACAGTAACATCAATTATACCTGTCTTCACTTGTTTAACATTTTCAATAATAAATCTAGAGTCTAAAGCTTGAGATGCACCACCCCAAAAGCTAGCTCAAATGGTGGGGGTGTTCAAGGCTAGGGGTGTGCATGGAGCGGTTCATAACCGGTTTTGACAAAAACCGAACCGAACCGATTTTAAACAGTTTAGTTTAGAACCGAACCGGTTTTTTTTTTCAAACCGGTTTTTATTTATTCAAACCGGTTTATGGTTCAAAACCGGTTTTAAATCAACACCGGTTATCAAGTTCAAAACCGATTTTATAACAACTTCAAAACCGATTTTTGATGAGTTGTGCTTTTTTTTTTTGAAATAAAATAAAAAATACCTTTATTATTTATCTATTTATTTTTTGCCAAAAATATCTAGACTATTTTGATTAAACATGAGAAGGCCCATTATTGATGCCATCAATCATGGATTCATCCATATGGCAATGATGCTCACAATCAAACAAGTTGGATGTTTTATGGATGGTATTTCACCATGGTATCGATAGTAGCCAACAATGTCTAGGTGCGGGCACTAACAGTACACTCAAAATACTCTCAACCCATGGTGAACAAAATGGTCTAGTGCTACTCCGATCCCAAGACATGATATAAACAACAAGGAGTTTAAGTGCATCGTGCGTACAATTAAAAAAATATTGAAGATAGGGTTAAAAAGTAAAAATAAAAAACGATTAAAAAAATGAATATGGTTAAGGATTCGTATCCAAAAAAATGAATTTTGGATATCCCAACCAATCTTGCTTGCACAATTGAAAGAGCCACCGGTTTATCTCTCCATTGAAGTTGTAAGCTGTGTTCGGGGGGGAGTTATTGTCTATCGTAAAGGATTCGTAATCCTTTTGAAAATTCAAAATCGAATGGATTCGGTCTTATACATACGCGAGGAAGGTCTATATGAGATCCTAACAAAATCATGGCATGCTCAATTATCGATTAACCTAGTTCTCTCTCAATTCGAAAATCCAGGATTTGAATTGACATTTTTTCAAAAATTTTGTATTTTAAATTTAAAAAAAGGGCATTCTTTTATTTTGAAACTGTTGTGAAAATGGATAACCGAACCTAAACCAAAATTAAAAAACTGGTTTGGTTTTTTAAACCATTTTATAAAAACCGGTTTTTGGAACTGGTTTGGTTCAGTTCATGGATTGGTTTGAATCATTTGATTTTTTTAAACACCCCAACTCAAGGCCCTATAAACCCCAGATTAGTTGCTCATACAACCAATGTGGGACTCCAAGTCCCATACCTTGCAAATGGTCCTAACAACTTGCAAAGACATAGTGGATTGCAAAATACCTGGCTATGTTGAGCACACTCATGAGAGGCAAGGACAAGTAACTTGAATGAGGGAATCTAGGTATTATGGCATCAGAACTGGGTGTCAGCAATGGTTCAAGCCAATGACGCCCCCACATCCTAGCAATATCAAGAGGAAGCCACCTGGGGGGAAATTTTTTCAAATTTGTATTATTATGTTATAAAGCAAGTAAAAGTCTGCATTGATATACCATTTACAAAATCTTACCCATTGCAATTCAAAGCCATCCGACTCGCACCTCTTGCAAGGAGGATCTGAAAAAGAATAACATTATTGACAGATTCAACGGAAAGGACCAAAAGGTATATATCACACATCAAAACCAAAGCAATTCTTGCCTGACAGCATTTTAAATTGCCCCCACAAGCAGCATAATGCAACGGAGTGCTTCCAGCCCCTACATCAAATCACATTAGTTAGTTATGTAGAAGGGGGAGAAAAAGACCTTAGAGATATTCAGCATATTAAACAAAGACATACCTATTAAATCCATTGACGTTCCATAATGAAACGTCACAGCAGACACATTTGCATGAAGATCAAGTAGCAGTTGTATACAATCAAAGTACCCATTTAATGCAGCCATATGAAGGGCAGTGATACCACCATCAGCTGTCTTATTTACAAACTTGGAAAGGGCACTGCACTGGAATAAAGTAAATAAATTGCAAGAATATAACATAAATGAATAACAACTCTAGTAAAGTCAGGAATTAAAACATTCTTAACAACAAAGAACACCAAATGAAATCTTAAAGTCATTATTTCCACAATAAAATTATGCATCGCTTTTGCGACTAATAATTTTATCTAACACTTATTCATGTAGGAAGTAACTATATAATTGCATATGTACGACAATTAATAACAATTAAAGCGAGTAACAAATAAAATACTATATAGCCGATGAAGTCAATACAAAGAACATTTGAATTCAAGCACACAACAGACAGCAAAGGTATACCAGTCATTCAACCCTATTAGCCAAACATAAAACATAATATATGAAATTCACTGCAATGATATCTTGTTTTGGGAAATACATAATGAAAAGGAAATGGGTACCTTTGTTCATGTTTGCCTTTCACATTTGATCCACCACTCCTGCCAGCATCTGTGGGAGCATGTATAGCTTCAAAAGGAGCACTTGGAACAAAGTCAGCTACGACAAGTCTAATACATCTTACATGCCCATTCACAGCTGCAAAGTGAAGAGCTGTCCTCCCACTGAGATAATCTGCTCTCATAACCTGTTATTGAATAGATTATGGTCTAGTGATTCTTGAATTCAAATTTTAACATGTAAAAATGAAAATATGTGCAGAAACCAAGTAATCATTTTCCATTGATGACCTATGGTATCCAAGCTATATTAAATACAAACTTATGGTGAAACTGAAAAACAGTTCAGATGTAAATGACAGCTAGAAAGAGGGGAAAAAAGAGAAAGTGTAACAGGCCTCACATTGCATCTGAAGAGTAGAAGTGTCTGTACAACTTTCCAATGCCCATATCTACAAGCTTGCATCAAGGCCGTCTTCAAATCAAGGATCAAAGTAAACCATATTCTCAAATTAGTACAGCACAAACATGTTTCAAAAAAAAAAAAAAAAGGGGTATGGATATATCCAAAGAAAATCTGAGTAAAGCTTAATGCTACCATGCTGTCATCTATTTGATACCAGATCCATTTATCTGATTGCTTATTAAAATGCACACTCTAGCCATGCTTTCTTACAGGCAGTAATTTGCATCATGGAATAAAACCATACCCAAAACGAAAATCTATATTCCAATTTCAAATACAAAACGGAATCCTCCAATATTAAAAATTTCACCACTAAATATAGCCATCTCACCTATTTTTAATCATATTATGCAGTTTTTCTTCAAATCAAAACCAATATTCATAATAAAACTTAAACCTAAAAGAAAAAGAGAGAGAGAGAGAGAGAGAGAATGAAACTCGTACCTGCCCACAATAATTTCTTGAATTAACATCAGCTCCATTCTCAAGCAACAATGCCACAATCTAATGGAAACCCAACAGATAAAAATAAATAAATAAACTCTGATGATAAGAAGGTTGAAGAAAAATAGCCAATAATACAAAAAAAATAATAAAAAAAAAATTGAAAACAATAAGAAAAAAGGGGTAGATGTGGATTGTGAAACCTCGTTATGGCCCTTGGCAGCTGCAAAATGGAGAGGGGAATTGAGGCCACCAAAAGTGGAGTACTTGGCAAGACATGGGTTGCAGTTCAAAAGCATCTTCGCCTCCACCAAGTCGCCGTCCCTCGCCGCCGACACCAGCCTCTCGCCGGAGGCAGAGCACCCAAACGAATTCCCCATATCTCTCCAAACAATGATATGAAGATGGTGACGTGGAAGGTGTCGATTCGATGGGTATGGTTGGTTCTTGGTTGAAGCTTGTCTGTCTCTGGATTGTGTGTTTTTGCCTCAACAACGATGGGAAATGGGAAAAGGTAGACGCATATATATGAAGCCTAAACAGTTAACTTTACCTTCTCTTTATGTTCTTTTCTTCCAAGTGTGTGTTTGTGTTTGTGTGTGTGTCTTAAGTCGTACTATTGTCCTTCAATTGTTGTATCCTCCCCCGGCACAACCTGGCACGCGTCGTTTCGTAAGATTATTTGAAAATTGATTTTTTTTTTAATTTTTAATTTTTGAATATTATTTAAATTGAATGTTTTTATCATATTTTTGAAAATCGAGATTTTCCTATAATTTTTTTTTTCTCTACCAAACACCCACTAATTTCATTTTTTTTTCCTTCTTTTCTTCAATCAATCAATAAATAAATATTTCTCGAAGCGGCATTTGGTACAAGGCATTTTGTAGGATTTCTGAGAAATTGAATTTTTCAAAAATTTTAATTTTCAGATATTATCGTAAACTGAATGTTTTCGTCATATTTCTGAAAATCAAGATTTTCAAATAAAAAAAAATTCATCTACCAAACGCCCCCTAAGGAAAAAGTGTGTATAATTTTAAAGGATGTAAAATTGTATCATTTTAAGAGAGAGAAATAAATAAATAAAGGTGGAGAGAGAGTTGACAAAAAAGTAAAGGTGTGAGTCTCACCTCTTTGTAAGAGTGAAATAATATAAGTTGTGTCATTTAAAAGGATAAACACTTCTTTTATAAATTTAAAATTAATTTATGTTGTCAACAAATTTTTCATTCGTAGGACGATTTATAAATCAGAAAAATATTTCTGCTTAAGTTATCTATATTTACTTTCAAAATGACATTATTTTGGAATTGAAAGATTAAAAAATTATAATTATATAGACTATAATAACCTTGAAATAAATTAAAATTATAAAAATATCATAATTTCTGTCACAAAACAATGTCGTATTAACTTTACTTAAATAACTTATCTGCAGGTAACTGTAGAAAGTTGTAAATACTATGCATGCATTGAGAGGCACATCTATATTCTTTTTATTTTTGTTTAGCTAAAAATTAACATATATCTCGTTTACCTCCAAGCTTAAATATTATGTTGATTGGAAAAACAGTTGGCAAGCAATTTAAAAATTGCATATGCTTATACCAAAAAAATAAAATAAAATTACATATGACTATGAAGTTCTTGCTTTGCGTATTATTTTTATGGAAAATGATAATATTATGCTGCATAAGATACCTATCTCATGTCATATATTTATAGAATTTTGTGCCAATTTATTTCTTTTTTCTTTTTTTTTTTTAAATTGTGGATCCCGCATGTTTGTATCACCCACATAAGAGTACTATCTCATGTAACATGAGATTAGTAAACTCTTATTTTTATAGCGTATTTGGGAGATTTTTTGTTTTAGCTTCTCTTATATTTATAAATAGAAGTTAGGTCAAACAAAATTTTAAAAAAACTCTTATAATAAATAAAAAGATTTAAGAATAATAGAAAAAGTTAAAAGCCAAAAGTTCCTAAAAGTAATTTTTTTTAAGTTATATTAGCTTTTTTTTGAATGGTGTATTTTTAAGTTAATGAACAACTTTTAAAATAAAATATTTTGTTTTACCGTCAAACAGTTTATAACTTTATTTATAAAGCTCTTTTTTTAAATTTTATCTTAAAAGTAATTTTAACTTAAAAAAAATAAAAAAAGTTATAAAACAGGCTCTTACATTTCTTTTAGCCGGAAGAGATAATTCAGCAAGGAGGAACGTCCCCCAAATTCCTTCCAGTTATCAACTATGCAATGCAGTTGAGGAACATCTGCAACATTTTATTTTTCTTTGAATCTAAATTTGCAAATTAATTTAGCTTTTTTCTCCTTTTGCTCTGGAATTCATTTATGTTTTTGATAATAGGGTGGACTTGGCTTAGTAAGAACGAGGTACTCATTTATTGGTCACGACGTTGGAGCAATGACAGTAGTTTCTATTTTCTTTTTTTATTTATCCACCCTTCCATCGATTATCTCACTGATTTAATTTGAATTTGGTAGGATTGTATATTGAAAATTCGAACTCAAAGTTACTTATTAAATTGGAACAACCTTCATCCAGTAATTGGTGGTGTTTCTAGATATTTGTAATATAATTTATTCACTTTGTCAGTTACTTACTTGGTTATGTGGTTTTGGTACCTATTGGATATTACTATACCCTTTCATTGATTGATCCACAAATTAACTTCTATGTATATATTATCTTAAAAAATTTGTAGTATAAAATAATTGTCTATATGTCACGATCCAACCTAACCCGAATATTTATTTATATTCAATTATATCAATATATTAGCTGCTTGTCTTCTTCTTTAAGTGAGTCTAGAATGAAGTTGATATCTCTGTCCACTAGCATTTGTTCTATTTATCTATCATTAACTGGCATTGATTCTAGAATTGCATTCCATAACCTTGAAAGAGCTATTTGTTCAAGGGGATAACTATTTTGCATTGATATCGACACAAGACACGAAAAATGACACGTTAATCCTAAAAAGTATCATATTTTGACTTGTTAGGACATTTTTAATATTAAATAATATTTTTAATATATATAATATAATTTATACTTAATACATATAATAGTCTATAATAAGTCATATAACGAATCAAAAATTCAAATTCCATAACATAAATATAAAGCAAAAATAATTTTTCATATCTTGTTAATTTTTTATATCAAATTTCATAACAAGAAGAAATTGACTTATAAATTAATTTTTTATTTAGTTAATAAAATAAAATTTAGATCCAAAAAAAAAATGTAGATACGTGTGGGAGCTTTAATAGCGTGTTGACCGCGTGTCGAAAACACGGGTCTGAACGTTGACCGTTGACTGCATGTCCCAAAATATTAATCGTGTGTCGAACCCTGTCGGAACGTATCGATGTCCGATAGGCAAATTGTTTTAAAAATCATGTGTATGTGCTTTCTAGGGGGATGGTCACCATATAGGTCAAATCCAAAAATATATTTGTAAAAGATCACTTTAACCTAAAATCTTAAAGTATTTGATGAGTGCTTTTTTGATAATTTATATTATTTTCTATCGCCTCACGTAAGAGCTTTTTGAGCTTGAAGCGTAGATATTGCACAAGCCTAATATTTGGTTTATCTTTTATACTTTTTATTTTAATTCCACTAGAAAGTGGGAGACGATGAAAATCAAACTCATGATCTTGTAATAACTGAAATTCTAATACTATGTAAAAAATTATTTCAACCTAAAATAAAACTTTATTGAGTGAGACCTTTTTAATGATTTATATCATTTTCTAACAATAATATAATACGAATTAATCACGAGCTGATTTTGTCTGCTCCAGGCTCATCGAATAATTGGTGAGACAGAGGTGAGAGAAAGAGAAAAAAAGTTGAAGAGAGAAAAAATTGAAGAGACAAAAGATGAAAAAAAATTCATATGTCAATTTCTTAATAGAAAGATCGTGATGATCTCAGAGCATATTAAAAAATTCCATTAAAGACGGAGTGCATACATGCTACCTTTGTATCAGAGTCTCTGGTAAAAAAAAAAAGAGATCAGGTACTCCGCGGATCACAAAAGACATATGATCTCTTGGCCCACCAAAAGTTCATGCGAGACATGGCGTTGCCAAAGTACTCGTGGTACGATCGAAGCCGTTGATGCGTGGGACCATGTTGACTGAGACGGTTGACAAGTTTTGATCTGTGAAAGCACTCTGCATTCATCAGAGACAAGATTCTTTGCCTTTTTTTTTTTTTAAGTTAATAAATTATAATTATCTTTTTGAATCGAATTGACTTCTCCTAATATTTTTATAAATTTTAATTTTTTAAATTAATTTCTTAATTCTTTAAATTAATTATGGAATTAATTTAAAATACACCACGGATTATTGATGAAAATATTTAAAAAAATTTAAAGATGATATATAAAAGTGGACTTTTTGACCCTTTTGCTCTTCATTAATTAATAATTATTTTGCCTCTTATCCGAAACCATCTACCAATCTGTCTCTCTTTAATCGGTTAACTTTAAGATTTAATCGATTAAATAGTCAAAATTGACAAAAATGGTTGACTTGAAGATTTAATCGATTAAATCTCTCTCTTAATCGATTAAATCTCACTCTTAATCGATTAAAACTTATATTTATTCGATTAAATATACCAAGTGAACGTGAAATCATTGATTGATTGCGTTTTGTATTTAATAGTAGCTGATTGCGTTTTGTATTTAATAAGAGTTGAATGTGTTTTGTATTTAATAAGAGTTGGTTGCATTTTATTAGGAGTTGCCATTTTACGAGTTGGTTATAGATTGTCAACAATTCAAATTTATTTGTAATTTGTAATTCTGAGCTTATTTAAGGGCAACATTTCAATGAAAAAAGTAAATATACCAATTGAGCGTGAAAGCATTGATTGATTGCGTTTTGTATTTAATAGGAGTTGAATGTGTTTTGTATTTAATAGGAGCTGATTGCGTTTTATTAAGAGTTGTCATTTTACGAGTTGGGTACAGATTGTCACCAATTCAAATTTATTTGTAATTTGTAATTCTGATCCTGCTTATAGACAACATTTCAATGAAATGAGTAAGAGTGTACATACCAACATTAGAGTTGGTGACAATCTGTAACCAACTCGTAAAATGGCAACTCCTAATAAAACGCAATCAGCTCTTATTAAATATAAGGCTTACATAAAAACTTCTATTAAATACAAAATGAAACCAGCTCCTATTAAATACAAAACGCAATCAGCTCTTATTAAATACAAATAGCAATCAACTCTTATTAACTTGCTGAGTTGCTTCATATGCATGGAATCTGCTTTTGTTTACGAGGGAGATTTGACCTTTGTTGCCTACTTGGAGATTTAATCGATTAACTTGAAGATTTAATCGATTAAATCTTCAATTCAACCATTTTTTGTCAGTTTTAACCATTTAATCGATTAAATCTTCAAGTTAATTGATTAAAGATGGATAGATTGATAGATAATTTCGAATAAAGGATAAAAAATTATTAATTAATTAATACAGGATAAAAATGTT